ATAGCATAATTTTTTTTCTTACAATATCAATCTTATTTGATTTATTTTTAATTTTTAGTTATTTATATATATCAAAAGCACAACAAATTACATATGTTTTCCACTATTCTAAATTGTATCAATACACTGTAGTAATTATTTATGTTACAATCCCATGGTGTTTAATTTACAATTTCCAAATACTTAATTATTTAGTTAATAAAAAGAAAAACGATATCAATTTATTGTTAAAATTTTAAACTTATTTGTCTAATTACTCTGTCGTCATTATACTTCATGTTTCATTTCATTATATACATAAAAAAAAATAAAAAAAAAATACTATGGATATATATTTTGTCCACATGCATTATACAAAATATGTTATTTTTGTTTTTTAAAATTTTTGTGTTGAATTATAAACAATAGTGAAATTAATTACCGTACATGACACGAAACCTAATCTAGTTGTAGCTATTTTTGATACCATAGCAACCATTTATAATCTTATAGTACCATTCCACTACTCAGTGGTATAAATCACAACTCAATAATACAATTTACAACGAACTCAATAGTACCAATGTCGTTTTATATTTCTTTGTCCCTCTATTTAAAACTTTGTCATATCATGCAAATACAAATACATTACAAGTTCACAACTTTGCAGTACTACTTCCTTCCTCGCTTTCTATATCGTAGGACACTAATTTCATCATAAGTAAACATCCACTCAACTTTGAACTCTATTTTTAATTATACTTTTCTTGTTTTTAAAGTTGAATCAGGTTAAAATTGAACTTTATATATTGATGCACCGTTTTCGATCATTAATGGTTTTAATAAAATCTTAAATTATAAAATGTAGATGATACGCATTGAGAAGCATCATATAATTACATCACACACACACACAAAATATATATATATATATATATATATATATATATATATATATATATATATATATATATATATATATATATATATATATATATATTTATATAGCATCCGTGTGATGCACGACTTACAAATCTTAATACTCATATTCATTTCACCAAATTTTAAAATAAAATGAATTAATGAGTGATAATGAATTTACTTACAAATAGGTCTTAATCATATATTTTTAACCCTCTAAATAATGATATACGGAGTACTAATTGAAAGCAACTTTTTTTTTTAAGAAAAACAAAAATTCTTAAATTGTATGTAAAGATTTGAAAACTAATACAACACGATGAACTGACAATCAATATCCAAATTAAGTCATATTTTTTTTCCTCCTTTATTCGAGTCACTGGCCCCCTCATTTTAAAAATGACTATCTCCGTCCTCTAAATATGTTTTTACTAGATTAGTGTCCGTGCAATGCACGATAGTAATAATTTTTTTTCTATATAATTAATTTGACATATAATATAAAACTGAGGCAACTCATGTAGAATAAACAAATGTAATGCATGTAAGAAAGATGAAATAATAAGGCAAAAATTATTAAAACTACAATTGAGAAAAAAAATATATATTATTTTGATTAGTTGGGTTGAAAATATTTAAAAATAGTATACATTAGATTACATTAATGATGCATGTTATTCTTAATAAAACTATACAATGTAGATGTCGTATGGCTTTTTATTAATGAATTAATTTAGTTAAAAAAAATATACAATGTACTTCCAAAAAATAAGCTAAGTAGGATAATTAAGAAAAAAAACCTTAAAGTTGACATCATATATTGTATTGGCGGGAATTTTTTTAATGATAACTTGATATATGTCCAAAATATCGATGTAAGTATGGCCTGTTGTAGTAATAGTTAATAATTTTCTTAGGAAAAAAAAAGTTATAAGTTGGTAAAATTATTATAGAAATATTTAACATAAATCTAACTCAATTATTATTATTTCATAAGATTTCAAATCAACACCATGAATAGAAGTGTTTTTTTTTTCATTAACCCCACAATTGTACAACTATACATATATAATGGTAATTTAGATGTTGATATTGTATTTTTGGCTCCGTTAGTTTATACTCTCTCAAAATCTTGTGTAACTATTTTAAGTAAATAAAACACAAATTAAAAAGGAGTACAATTATTAAAAAGATAATATATGAGATTAGGAATAATATATTATTATAGTTGTATTATACAAATATTCCAAAAATAAAAGATTTTTGCTAAAAAGGAAGGGGGAGTTTTGGAGGGAAAAAACAGAACCAGGAAGTGACACATGTCATTCCTGGTGTCTGTTTTAGTATGATGTTATTGATTTTTTTATGATTAGTAGATTGTAGATATTATGCATGAGTGTATTGTAATATTAGTTGTCAAATAAATGGTTTGATTACAGGTGTAGCAAAAATTTAAAATCTTTTTATAATATTCAGAGATTTCGGATTTAGGGATTTTGTAACAAAATATTATAGCAAAAATTGAATTATATACCGTATGTAAATTTTTATAAAATTATGTATGATATACCTAAAATCATATAGTAGAAAATTAGTAACACAAATTTTTATATGTGGCTGACCACACTGTGTGGCCGGGGTTACTTATTCAGGGGTAACCCCTTACCGATCGAGTAACTCTTGACCGGCCGAGTAACCCCTGACCGACCAAGTCATCCCTAATTGAGTAAACCTTGACCAAGCAACCTTTGACCGACCGAGTAACCTCGACTACATGGTGTGGCCAGCCACAAAGAAAATGCGGTGAATTAGTAAAATCAACATATATATAATTGGCTCATAATTTACATATTTAAAAAACATAATTTAACAAAATTTGACTACTACTACAAAGCAATTTTGAATCAATCAAAATCAATTCGTAATATCAAATAATCAATCAAAATTTATAATTTTGTGATTGATTTTTAATTAGCGATAAATAATTTTTTTATATATAGTATTCTGATAATAGTTTTGTAGTCAATTTTTTTTTTATTGATTTTTTAGTGTAATATCTTTTTATATGTTACAAATATTTTGACTAAGATTCGCGAAAAATAATCATATTACCTTGTATAAAGGGCTATATACAATTTTTATAAGTGTATATGTAAAATGTTCAAATTCAAGTAAATAAAAAAAAATGAAAATGCACTTATCATAATTTCTTATTTTAACCACGTGTTATATAAATTAGTATATTTGAATGATTTATGATTGATAATCTATATCATCAATAATATCATTAACTAAATTATAATCTAAACTTGACTAAAATATGAAGAATATAAGATTTTATAGATTATTCTATAATATGCAATATTACAAATAGTTTACTGATTCATTAAATTTTCTAGAATCTTTATAAAATGGTCAAGAAGGCTTATAATTTAGTAGCTATTTATAATCTATTATTGACCATCGTTGTAGGAAAAAATATCACTTGTCAATCTTATACCAATTATATATAGAGAGAATAGAGTGATAAAATTGTAGGATAAATATATCTTTTCTATAAAGTATATATGTATCACTCCAAATCTTTTAATTACAAACTGTTAAATGGACTTGGTTCGCACTTATTTATTATGGACCACTAACATTAGAGACACTAACATTATATAGTTAAATATTATGTAAATAAATAGTGTAGAATTCAGATATAGAGGAAGAATTTGTAGATCTTGTAGTGTCTCCTTGTGAAGATTAAAACTAACTTTTAGATTCGGATAATGCCTTGGTTAATAATTATTATATGCATGTATTATTATAATAATTATGCATGTCATGCATGCATGCATGGTTCAATTCTACTTTTATTGAATTTTAATTTTTATTGTTTAGCCATGAGATTATGAGTTCAATTTTTCGAATATAAACCATAGTTATGTATATTTTTAATGTAAAAATGGCATGAGATCATAGTTAACAAAGGAGGCTAAGAAACCGCCAGGTAACATGCATGTAGACTTAATTCAAAACAACATTTAATAATTGTATATAGTAAAGACATCTTTGATATACAATCAAATAATAAAAATAATGGAATAACATACCATTCATTCGTCGATTGAATTCCTTGGTGTTAGAATCCAACTCCTTTTGATGTATTAGATTTCATTTAAGTGCTTTCCTAGACTTTAGGTTATGTTTTCTTAGCTTGAGATCCCATTATTGTGTTACTGTCAGATCAGTGTTCACTAGGGATTCTCCTTGTATGTCATTTAAAGCTCTTTAGAGGGCGAATGATTAATGAAATCTTAAAACCTTCTACCAAGTGTTGCCTGGCTTTTATGCTTGTTTGTTGTTAGACCTTTATAGATATTGTGTCTTACTTGCATATTAGCTCCCCTCTAACCCAACTTGATGCGCTAAGGACTCGTGGTTCGGACCCGCTTGTGCCCGCTTTGAAGTATCGGCCGTCACAAGCCCCGACCACCCGCACTCCGTCGCCCAGATAGACGTGAGTGCTCCTGAGATTCTATTGGTCGCTTGTGTTGCTTTGTGCTCACAAGCCCCTCTTCCGCTCAAGGCTAGCGTTCTTGCCGGCAAAAGGCTAGAGCGCGCCGCACGTTTCGGGGTCCAAACTCCCGGACCGTGACACTTGGTTAAAATAACTTATTTCTTCCACAATGGATTGATTAAAAACGAAGGAGCTCATCATCATTAGTAGCAAAGCCATTTCGCATTTACCTCTACTCTTAAAAAGAAGGGCTTATTTTTATTTATTTTTTAATTAGAAACTAATAAAGCATAATTAAGCTACCTAAATGAACATTTATCTATTTATTTTTGTTTAATTTATGATACTTTCATTTCACCTTTGAGCACACTAGGCATATATGTACAATACACTCGGTGATCATTACATTTTTTAATTTCCATATATACATTCAGCCATCCAGGTAGTATTGGATTTTGTATTCTCTTTTAAAAAAAAACAATTCATATTACTAGAAAATATAAATTAAAAATAAAATAAAAATAATAGAGAGTATATTGAAAACCCAAAAAAACAAAACAAAAAAAAAAAAAAAAAAAGGTACTGCAAGAAATAATGAACAAAGACATCCAATTATTTTATTTATTGAACAAAATGATTTATGTACAAGTTTGATTATTCGTAGTATATGCAACGAATAAAGCCATATGATACCTCTTCCATCCCATATGGAAAATTTATTACAACAAAATTTGAAGCATGTGCTTTTCTATTTACTTTCCCACCATTTCCTCTAGCTAACTAATTCCCCTCATTAATTAACTCCCATGTACTTGTATATTATAATACTACTATATTAGAGTATATATAAAAAAAAAAAAAAAAAAAAAAAAAACAATTACAGAAATACATGTAATTAAACTTATCTTCAAATCATCACCTTCATCTCATTGATCATCTTTATCTTCCATATATCTTCTTTACTGTTGTGTGTTCTTCTCCATCTCCCATTTACATTGAAGCACTTGTTTTTAATAATACTACAAGTTTTTTATGTAACCAAAAAAATAATAATAATCCCCCGACTATGCAGCGCCAGAGAATCTTACATACTTACAGATCCATATATTGTGTCGGCAGCCTAGCTATTTAATAATAACAATAACAATAATAATAGTAATAATACTCTCGGTCCCACATTGATCGTCGTATTATATTATTATTATTAGTGTTAATTTAGAAAAAGCTGATCAATACCTGACCAATTATGAACCGTCGGTGAATTCGGACTTATACAATACTTGTACGTTGATTTATCTTCACGACTCCAGAGCGGCGGCATAGGGGGTTTGAAGGAGGTCGTAAGGGGCCCACAGGGCGTCTAGAGGACAAGGGCGATTAGCATCTAGACGGGCCCAGGGTTTGCCTTTCCCACTCCAGTGGAGAAGGCTAACCGGGCCCGGATGTAAATCCCGGCAAAGTCCTCGAAAATTATCGCCACCAAGACCATGTTGGTTCCATCTATGATCAACCGGGACGATATTTCCGGCAAAAACAAGTAGAAATGGGGGTAGAGAACCGAGCTCGTAAATCCGCATTCGTTTTTGAAGCTCCATCCAATCCTCGATCCGACGGGTATAATCACCCGCCCGCCAACGATTCAAGTCGATGACCATTACCCCCGTGTTAAAGTAACACGCCTCTCTGTCAGCAAACGTGACGGACAAGGAAGGGTTGGACCAAAAAGTGGAGGTGAAGTAAGCAGTGAAGTTGGCGTTGCAATATTGTGGCGCGGCCAATACTTTATCGTCGACTAAGTCGACATTGTACAGCGTAGCGATGTCGTCGACAACGACGACATCGCTATCCAGGTACACCACACGGGATACACATAGCGGGAGGAGGTTCGCAAGGTATGATCGCGCGTAGTTTAACGGACAATCGAGTGCGGACCGTATTGAAGTCGAGATTAAACCCGAAACCGAATCGTCATCGAAGGGGTAGAGTTCGAAATGAAGATACGGGAATGAGGTTGCAATCGTGGCCCGTAAATTGGAGGTTGGTGTAGATGACGAGATCACAAAATGAAAGAAGATGTTCTGTGGGCAGGACGTGTGTTGTAGGACCGATAAGATCGCGGCCATTGAGCCACGAAGGTATGTTAAGTCAAGCGTCATCGCAACGTGCACGGCCTCCTCGGACCCGTAAGGGTTCACATCTTGTAAACTACTATCATGAGTTATCACAATGTTTGGACAACTCGGGGCGTTGTAGAATTGTGGTGCTTCCTTGAACCTTTGACCAATGGTATCGGCCAAGGCGGCCGATACCAAAAAGACAAAGAAAAATGTGGTAAGAAAACCATAATGATACATTTCTAGATGATGTATCAGGATTATAATTAAATTGAATGAGTTTATAATTTTGGGAATTTAAGGGATTTAAAGGGGTATGTAATAACACGTTAAGTTGAATGGAAAGTTGGGTAAGTAAGAGAGCAGCTTTCCAAGGTAGGAAGAGGGGATAGTGATGGATGGCCAGATAGAGAGAAGGGTGTGTTTGGTTGAAAGGGAGGAAGAAGGAAGCTTCAATTTTGGGAAATATTCAATTCAAAGTTTATAATATTATGTGAAAAATATGGGGAGATAAGAAGGTGCTTTCACATTTTCAAATTGGAGGTAATTGGAAGTTCCCAAGGCTTTTCAATGTGGGGTCATCTTCCTCATGGTCATACATACATACATACACATATGGAGAACAAACTACAAATATATAGCGTACGTAATCTATCCTACCAACTGAGCACCGCCAGGTCCCGCTTTTAGGAGCTTTTCGCATTAATTTTTATCATTTATCTTTATGACTCTCTAAAGTCTAAACGCTTAAAAAATACCATTAAAATAAATTTTAATTTCATCAATAAGAAATTTTATATGTAGTATATGAAATTGAATATTACTTTGATAGAATGCATTGTCTTAGATCGAATAATATTTCTAAAGGACTTGTTTTTAATTACATATCAATGAGAAAGTACAGATTGACTCTCAAAATAAATAAAATATTGCAAACTTAAGGAATAGGGGCAATATTATTTTTATTTCCATTATTTCAGATCTGTTGTCTTAAATGAGTTGCTACGGAGTATTTAGTATTCCGTAATACTCCCGCGTTCAAGTGTTTTTTCTTAATTTTTTTTATGTTGGAATGTGTAATGTGTATTACCTAATTTGATTGGAGTCAAATAAGTTCGTGCTCGTTTTTGGAAATGTTTATAACTTTGAAAGTTATGCTTCCTTTTATTGACTTTCTTCGATTCATCAAGTCTACAACAATTTTCTTTGAAGGTGCAACTTTACAAACTTTGATGAGTATTTGCAGAATACGGAGTACTCGGTATCTATGTGTTTACTGTTTAAAACCTATGAATAGTCAATGTAATCCTACCTTCGTAGGTAGTTCTAGGTAATTTCTTTTTACGACATTTTACTTTTGACGCATTTAAATACATTTGTATTATTAGATATTTGTAAAATTGATACTTCTTGTTTTTTAGTTGCGATTCTTTAACTTTGGCATTATTTAGTTGTTATACTTTGACTAGATTTGATATTTATATATACATAATGAAAAATATGAGTACATGCAATATTATCTGTTATTATATGTTTTAGAAGGATTTTGCTTACGAACACCTTAGGACGTTAGATAATAATTTAAATGGTATTATTTTGGAAACGGATACCATCAGTGTCAACATCATGCGTGGAAGAATATGTCCACATAGTATTAGTTAGAGTCGTTTTTTTTTTTTTTTTTTTTTTTTTTTTTTTTTTTTTTTTTTTTTTTTTAAAAAAAATGTTGTAGATAGCTACCATTTAGAACTTGCTCTCTTCATTTGAAACAAGGAGATCTGGTCTGATTTTGATAAAGTATGATCTGGTATGATTTGAATTTTTATTATCAAGTTTGGTCTGATGTGATTTAATAGTTTCACTAAACTTTGACCGCATTTTAATACTAATCTATAAAAAACATTATCAAAATGGTGTTGTTTGATTCGTTTCATTATGAACTTTTGAAATATGTAATTTTTCATACTTTTTTTTTAATACGCAATTAACGATATTTAGCAATAAGTAAATGATAATTAAAAGTTCTGATTTGATCTGAATGATTCTAGTCTTGTCTGATCTGATCTGAATTTATTAAGGAGTAATAAGTATCTAAAACAAGTTGAAGACAACAAGTCCTTAGTTTGAATATGAATATAAAATCAAGTATATGAATCTTCAAACTGATATTTATTGGAAGACTTTTGTTGACTAATAACAAACACCACAAAAATCTTCAAACTAATAAATTTTAATAAAGTTTCCCGGTTCATATTTAGTTTAACATTTTATATATTTGGTTGAACATTAATTATTTTGGTTGACCTATGGATTTTTTTTTGGATGCTTAAATAATTATGTTGTGCCAAATTTTGAATGATTTTGAATGCAATCATAATTCTAATCAAAATTTCTCTAAACTCTTCTTAACCTTGTATAACTTTTTAAAATGAGGTTTGAATTGAACTTGTCCATGCAATCATTTAGTTGTGTGTTATGTAGTATTAAACATATATTCGAACTTGTAGATTTAATAATATGCTTTAGTTGGAATATATGTTTTCGATCGTTTTGCAAGGTACGCATATAATAAGTTTAATATTAACTATACTTATACTAATCACATTAATTTCAAAATCTAACAACCGAAAAACCGAAAACAAAACAGAAACGATAATAAATGATCCCTTAGTAGCTACCAAAAATGTCCATAAGCAGACAAATCTGAAACCCCACACAACTAACAGTACAATAACCAGAAATACCATTAAATTCTTATAGTTAACCGAATTCACGTAATCTTGATAACAGATGTTCATACATCCCATTACTACACCACCCCCACAACTTGGAATTAATCTTTTGGCCATCTCAATTCAAATTTGATCCACGATTCATGATGAAACAAAATGGATAATCAGTACAGTTGATGTCATGACAAATTAGCATAGTCAAGTGCATTAATAAAATTACTATTACTACTGTTTCCAAGTCTTATTAAAGACAAAGTACATAACACTATGTCAAAATTGTCAATCTAGTGTAGTACTCTGTCCCAGATTATCTGACACAATCAATCTTGCATACATGTCAATTCACTAGTTTGACTTTATTTTTATATTATTAAATATTAATAAAAATTATTTTAAAAATTATATTATAAAACTTTATATTAATACTTAAGTAACAACATATTTTATGATAAAATATATTTTTAATTATGTTAGTAAAAAATTATGATCAAAGCTAATACATAAATAGTGAAAAAAAATCCAATGTTCAAGTCTTCAAGATAATATCTAGACATGGAGCAGTATTATTAGGTCTTAAAAACAGAAGAATGGTTGAGTATCTCAAATTAATAAAGCATGGTTGGTTCTTAATATAGAATAATGATTGGGGAGCACCGACAGCAAGGTTAGCCATGGGGGGCTCACGCACGTTGTTGTGGTTGTAAAAGTCAGCTGCATTGGCCCCTTTACCGCACATGGCCACGCCCTACGCGCTGCTGCTTTCAAACTACTGTTTCATACTATGTATGTTTGTTTTAGATGGAGCTTTTGGATGCCTTGTTAATGGGAGACAATTTTAATTTATCGACTTTTAGTTTAGAATCAAATTATGGATAGTCTATTTGAGATCAATGAATTAATTAAGATGGAGAAAAATGAGGAAACATATCGACAGTTAGAGCATTTTTTCATATGTGACATTTTATTTGGACGGATCTAAAAACTATATTTAATATATCAAAATAAATTTGATTTTCTATACAGTACGTGTTAAGTGCTTTTTTTAAAGGTAGATTTTAATTATTACGAAGAAAACAATCACAAATTATACAAATTTTAAGTGGGTCAATCGACCTAAAATCAAATCTTCAATGTGGTTATTCCATTGTTTCATTTGCCTATTACAACATTTGTTAATGGTGTGTGGAAATCAAAAAAGTTAATGACACTACATTTTTTTCTTTTTACAAAATATAAATAAATTTATTTTGCATCATAAAGTGAATAAATATATTGATAAGCTATGGGTTACTGGCACCACATCTACGGATTACAAATGAAGATACCAATAATTCTCCCTCTGTTTTTAAATACTTGCTGCACTTTTCATTTTCGACCATTTTTGAATACTTGCTCTATTTCCTTATTTGAAAAGCTTTTACAATATTTATTTCATTTCTCTTAACAAGTGGACCCAATATAAATCATACTTTATTAATTTCATATTCTATCTCCTCCAATTCTCTCAACTACTTTTCCTTTTTACAACTTTTTATTCTCCCACCTAGCCCCCTAGCTACCTCCATATTTTATTATTTTCTCCTAAAACTCCGCGCACGTAAAAATTGAGCAAGTATTTAAAAACAGAAGGAATAGTAAATAAGGTTATTGCTAGTGATCTAAGGCCCCGTTCATTTCACCTTATTTTTGCTGAACTTAAATTATTTTTACTGAACTGAAATTATTTTTACTGATTTTCTCACTATAAGAAAATTGTCTTGTCGTAACGATTTTCCATTTGCCACAATATGCACATATGTTTGTGAAACAGTATTGGAATTCGTATCATTTTACAATCGACATAGTAAACCCATATGAAATCGATACGAAAAACATAGTAATATTTGTTCACCATTTTTTATGCACATTTATAAAATTATGGAAAAGCGTATCGTTTACAATCGCCACTAAAACCCAAAAATCGATATGAAAAGCCTTTTTTACACTAGATTTTAATATTTTGTTTGACAAAGATAACATAAAATAGGTCATAGCTTCTTGGATAAACATTTAATATTAAAGCTTGAGGTTTATAGATCATATGTAGGGATTTTTTTTTTTTTTTTTTTTTTTTAAAGAAAATGAGTTCAACATTTGTAGCGATTAATATGTAGCTTTTTTTTTCTTGTTCACCATGATTGAATGTTGTATCGATTAATAAGGACAAGCCCAGCGAAAGCGTAAAGGCTATGGCAATGGCGGATATTGTATCGAATAACCATTCGTTGGAATTTTTTTTGTAGCAATTACAATCGATATGAAATGTTAAAATAATCGCTACGAAAAGGTATTTTTCTTGTAGTGTCTGTTATATTTCTTCTTTAAAGTTACTGATTTTTACTGAACTGAAGTTATTTTTTCTAAACCGAACTTAGTTTTGTAGAACTAAAATTATTTTACTGAATTGAAATTATTTTTACTGAATATTATTTTTTTTTAAGGTGAAGTGAACAGGGCCTAACATTATCAATAAAGTTCAAGAAGGGTAATAATAATGGCCTGATTTCCTGCCAAAAAAAAAAAAAAATAAAAATAAAATAATAATAATAATAATAATAATAATAATAATAATAATAATGATTTGATGATATCGCCTTTAATTATCGGGCTAAATCGAATGTCATGTTAACATTAAACTCCAAGGATGTAAATCATATAATCGGGTGAGGTTGGTTTTAACAAGTGATGTGCAAAACTTTTTATGTACACTCGACTGTATATAGAGGTATTGCACATAGAAGTAGGTGCATCCAAGGGTGACTTTTAACTCATTTGATATTTTTTTTTTTATTTTTTCTTATTTTAAATTAAACAAAAATATATTAAACGGTAGAAAATATCGTTTGGTACACTTTGCACTCGGATGTATATACTCTATAAAATTTTTGAAGTGACGTGGGGGTTTAATTAGTTGCAAAGAATGGTCCAACAATTTGACAGATGATGGGTTTTGTGTAGGTAACTGTGATGGGCCAGATTAGAGAGAAGTTGAATAATTGGACTTTAGTATATTGGGCTCAAGGGAGTATCCAAGTATTAGTATCCTAGAGTCTTTCAGTCAAATTGTCCTACAGAATCTTTTCCGTATCTTTTTTGTGAGAATGTTATGCACATATTTTCATTAATTACAAGCAAAATGATTAAGGAAAGTAAATTTGTTTTGATGCAAAAGGAAAGTAAATTTGTGAATCCGATCATTCATATACTCGTACAAAAGTATTAGTATCCTAAAACTGCCTAAATAAATTTATTCTCCAAATTAAAACTTAGCTTGAAACTATCTTTTTATTGACCTTTATTTTATAACATAAACATAAATTAGTAAATTATAACATAAAAGTATTAGTATCCTAAAACTGCCTAAATAGATCTTTTTGTTTAGTAAACTACTTGATTGAATTAATCGAAATTCCATATTAAGGAAATCTTCTATATATTTTGTAGCACATTATAAGAATATTTACCAAATTAAAATTGACAACTACATTTTTTTATTTTTGGTAAAATACAACACTATATATATGATCATAATCAATCTAAGAATCCTTGTCAATCAATAGCTTTGGTGTTAATATTTCTAGACTTGTCTATTGAAGATTTGAAGGTAATATGCTTATAAATGTTCTTCAACTATTAGTTTTATTACATGCATAACTTATATTTTTTACATAATATATCATTGAAACACATTTATTATTTATTAAATAAGAGTGCATACTTAAGTTAGATTATATTTTAGGACCTCATTAAACTTTGGAAGACATGAAGAAAATCAGTATGATTGTAGCTCTACTTTTTGTTGCCCTTGTGGTTTGTTCAGGTTTGTACATTATCACTTATTATCATCATAAATAATACATTATACGTATTGATTATTTTGGTTTAATTAATTTAAGTAATTACATTGCATCTAACATCTATAGTAAAATTTATTTGACTAATGTATACAATAATATGATATTGGCAGCTGATGACCCTGGAGCTTCACAAGTATCATGCTGCAAAGACAATCATATAGGAGTATGTATTCCAGGATCTGCAAGTGAAAGCGAATGTGACAGTTTATGTCGTAGCAGTTCTTGCGGTAAAGGAGGATTTTGCAAAGTTTTATCACACCCTCCTCCCAACCATTATTGCCATTGTTATTGTTGATCTATATTCTATAGTTTCACAAATAATTAATTATATCTACTTATTATTCAATTTTAAAAATAAAGAACTTTCATGCTTTAATATTCATCTTATGTAACGGCTCATCTTAAAATGTTAGCCTTGACATTCACTTTATAATAAAATTATATTATATTTACTCTCTGTATTCCATTCTTATATTGGACTATACATCATATTTTTCTTAATTAGCTTAGTTTATTTCTTGTTATTTGAATACAACTTTTTAAACAAACACATTTTTCACATAATTTGAAATCACAATTATCGAGTGTATATGTAGAATATCACCAAAAATCAAATCCATGTACCAAAAATCAAAGTATTATATTTATGTAACTCTTTGTATCCATTTTTAAACTCTCAAGATATACCGTATTTTTCTAATTAACGAGCTCTTTAATTTTTTTCATTTTTAAAGAGTTTGAATACGGTTAGTTTAGTCTATTTCTTGTGCTTTGGATACTATTTTTCAAATGTACCGTATTTTACATAATCTAACTTGAATCACAATGATCAAAAGTATATGTAGTTTGAATATCACCATAAATATAATGTAGCTAAACACAATAATAGCTATATTACAAACGTACATAATCTAAACAATGATCAAAAGTATATGTAGTTTGAATATCACCATAAATATAATGTAGCTAAACACAATACTAGCTATATTACAAACGCCAAACTATGATCAAAATATATAAGCATATTATAAAGATGATTATTGTATTAGGAATTCCCCTTCTGAGCAGGGTCTCCTAATATTTTCATTTGAGATTTCTAGTACTCTCTTTGATCTCTTTAAACGTTACGTTATAACGTTTCTTGTCCACCATCACGAACGTGTATTTCTCTCCTTCATGTTCGTCCCATTGGTTTTCTTTCATGCAATTCTTCCAAATTATTCCTCTCAAATCAAAACCATCCTGATAAACAGAGCAATTTACACACCACTCCCTCCCATCACCTGTTTGTAACATGACAAATTTGTACAAGCTTTCCTTCATGTACTTGTCGCTAAATATCTTGGGGATATGCTGAGAATAATCGAAAAAAATATGTATAACATAACAAATAAATGTGTTTGAACTATTATGTAGCTAGTAACGTGATAACTACATCTAAATAAAAGTAAGTGTTAATTAACAATAGCATAATATACCATATAGTATGCTATTATATAACATAACCTTGAAGGCTCACCAGATAAGAACTAGTCGACGAGATATTATAGTTTCGCACTACAGCAGTGAAGGAGGGGTTGATGTAGTTACTCTTCAATATTATGCAATCGCTATCTATGTCATCATCCTCTTCTTCCTCGACCATTACCCTTTCGATAACCATGTCATCATGGTCTCGATGATACTTGGCATATTGATCGTATTCTCTAGGATACTCGATCTCAGAACAAGACAAATCGAATATGTAATCTTTGAAGTGCTCATTTTCTTGATACTCAAATTCTAGGAAGTAACCATATTTTATAGCATTTTGCTCCATAAAATCTGCCCATCCTTGAGTAAAGTAAAGCTTGTTGTCAATTCTTTCGAGTTCAAGCTTCCACGAAAGACCGGTTCGGACAGTTTGAGTTGCGAATAGTGGAAGCTGAGGGCTGAAATCCCTTGTAAATGTCTCAGGAATCCTCTGTTTTTGTCCCAAAATTGCCAAAGAATATTAGTATTATAGAACATATTGTGTATGACTCAATTATATTTTGTTGAATTTGTACTATAGTATTAGATATGCATTGTAGAACATATGCGTAACTCTATTATATTGTACTCCTAGTCGAAATTATGTTACTCAAACTCTTCTATTCGAATCAAGAATCCATTGTCAATCAGATTTAAAAAGTCAAGAAAATTTTCCCATAAACTATTACTAATAGGAAAATGCGTATAAAAAACCAATCAATACATAGTGTTCAAAAAAAAAAAAAAAAAAAACAATCAATACATCAATCTAATCCCGTCAAAAAAAATATATACACTACTCTAAACCTCTTTTTGTCATAAACAAATAATATCTCATATTTTAAACCATTTTAAAATGTGTATTTAACGCTTATATGCAACATTCGTAATGTACATAATCTTACTATTATTAGGACTTAGCTTGATGCATAAATTGTTAAATTCACAAAAGATGGAGCACTTGTTCTCAATAATAAGGTACTGTAGTAATTACTTCTTGTTATTTCAAGACAACTCTAGTTTTCTTTTATTTTTTGGGCATGCAATTCATTAGAAATTTCTCATGTCTTACAATAAATCAGTTATAAAAATTTTAAAAAAAAAAACAAAAAAAAACTTAAAGATAAAAGGTCTAAGCTACCACAAAAAATTATAAAAAATAAAAATAAAATAAAAATAGAAGATATATTACCAGGATTTTATGGTGAAGGGTGTGAGGGAGGATGATTTTGAAGAATTTGTGGGGATAAATCTCAAACTGTTTTTCTTTATTATTACACCCTTCATCTGTTCTTCCTATCTTCTTCTTTAACTTCAACATTTTTTCGACACTTTAATTTGAACCGGTAGTAAGACACTTTGATTTATATGTCCAGCTTAATTTGTACGTACAGTAGTGCATTTGTTCATTACTTTCAGGGTAAATAAACACAGTAAATAAAACTGTAAAAGTGATGATGAAAATAGTGTTTTATGACTGTTAAGGTGTTAGATTTCCAAGGTGCTACAGGCATGGAGCAATAATGTAAAGGGAACTCACAAAATTAATGCTGCCATTTACTACGAGCATTTAGCAATAATTAAGTTATATGCACTTATATTTTGTCATTATTTTAAGTCACATGTCCTACATGTTAAAGGTTTTATTTTTAAACTAACCATATACGAAGTACTACGTATAATGTATCTCTTTAGAATTTAGTTTATGTGATTACTTATTTGTTGTTGTTATAGTATCAAACTACTCCTTATTATATTTCCAACTCATTTAAAATAAAAATAATAAATGACATTTTAATGTTATATTATAACGACTCAAATGTATCATTTCGGGAAAAAGCTAGTATACAATTAAAAAAAAAAAAAAAAACCCTCTCTTGCTCCGTAATTTTGATTATACAATTTGTTTTTTTTTATTACTCGTATGCTTACTTTGACTATAATTTTTTACTAATGTATTAAAACAAATGGTATCACGTAAAATGTTACACATATTATAAATGCTTTCTACTCCCTATGTCCCCTATTTTTTGCCCCATTTGACTTTTTACGGTCTTCAAAACGCGTGTTCAAACGTATATATCTTAATTTTTATACGCATAAAAATTATAAAAGTTTGATATTAATAAAATATACAATGTGATGATTCTAACAAGACCCCGCATGAATATATTATCACTTATAGATTATCGGGAATTTATGGTCAAAGTTTTATAAGTTTGACCCATAAAATTGCAATGGGGCAAAAATAAGGAACTGAGGGAGTATGTATTAATAAAGTTTCATAATAATAATTTTTTTTTAATTAGTTTTACTCATATTTAATTGTATTCAAGGTTAAAAGTAGTGCATTGACAAATTCATTAAACTTAACTAAATGAGTTATTTTAGAATAGATGTCTCTATTACTCTAAAACCCGTATACTTCATTATTTTGATCATTTTTAATTTATGCAAAATAAGGTAAAGAGAACAAACCCTTACGATGAATATTGTAGGCTTGATTTTAAAAGGGCCAAGCCCACAAGTCCACAACCTATGTACTCGAAGACTGTGGAGGAAAAAACAAAGGAAAGAATCGAAGAATCCATGATTCACATCATCAAAACAAAAATGTTAAATCGGAAAATTCTTACAATTTCCATTTCCCGCCAAATAACTGCTTTTGCATTTCACCTTCTTCGTTTCAATTGTACCCACCATTATCATCATCATCATCATCAATCTCCTTCGTTTTTCTCTTCAATTCTCAAATCTGTAAAAAATCCCACGATTCTCCTTCAATTACATGCTCAAATTGTCACTTCTGGCGCAACTTCTAATCATGTTTCTCTCTCCAACAATTTGATGAATGCCTATATTTCTGCTGGTTTAATTTACAATGCCCAGAAACTTTTTGATCAAATCCCAGAAAAAAATTTAGTTTCTTGGACAATTTTGATATCTGGGTTTACGAAAAGAGGGTTTTTTGATGAGGGTGTTGAATTATTTGGTAAAATGGTGAGAAGTGGGTTAATGCCTAATGAGGTTACTATTTCAAGTGTTTTACCAGCTTTTGCGAATCTGGGTTTGGATTTGATTGGTAAATCGGTTCATTGTTTCTGGGTTCGTCGTGGATTTGAGCATAATGTTGTTGTTGAGACGTCTTTGATTGATATGTATTGTCATTTCGGGAGACTGAGTATTGCCCGGAATCTGTTCGACGAAATGCCTGTGAGAAATCTTGTTTCATGGAATGTTATTATTTCAGGGTATGCTAATAATGGGATGGGAGATGATGGACTTTACCTTTTTAATGTAATGCGAAAGAATGGGGTTTCTTTGGATTATTTTACCATCATGAGCTTGATATTGGCTTGTTCGGAACGTAGTCGAGGAAGAATAAGTAGTACAATTCATGGTTTGATTGTAAGGATAGGATACAGCAAAGAGCGGCAAATTCAAACCGCTCTTATCGATATGTATACGAGTGGTAGCTTCATTGATGAAGCTTATGGTGTCTTTAATGAAATGGTTGTCAAAGATATGGTTGCCTGGACTTCGATGTTGAAAGCATTCTCATCGGGTCAGTATTGGAGCAAGGCCATTGAACATTTAAGTGAGTTAATGTGTGTACATTATATGTCTCTTGATTCAACTGCTCTTGTAAGCATGATTTCAAGCTGCAGCTCTTCAGGAGCTTTACCACAAGGCAGACTGATTCATGCGTTTGTAGTCAAACGAGGGTTCAGCAAGGATGTGTTTGTTGGTTCTGCATTCATAGGCATGTACACAAACTGTGGTGATTTAGACAGCGCGAAAAATTACTTTAGCTGGATGGAGGAAAAGGATATTACGTGCTGGAATGCTATGATTAGAGCTGTGGGAGTGAATGGAAATGGCAGTGATGCAATTCGTCTCCTATGGAAATTAGAAGGCTTAGGATTAAATCCAAATGAATCTACTTTTGTTTCTGTCTTGTCTGCTTGCAGTCATGCTGGTATGGTTAATGAAGGTCTTCAAATTTTTGATCATATGTTGGAGAAAAGGGGCATACTTCCCAATCCACAGCATTATGCTTGTCTAGTAGACTTGCTTGGACGATCAGGACGACTAGATGAGGCCCATTTGGTGATATCTCGGATGCCTTTGCAGCCACATTCTGGGGTTTATGGTGCTTTACTGAGTGCATGTAATGTCTATGGTAACACTGAGGTGGGAACTGAGATTTATAAACAACTACTTATATTAGATGTCACAGATGTTGGCCATTTATGCTCTGTTTCAAACTTGTACTCCTCCATGGGTGATTGGGAAGGCACAGAGATGTCTCACACAGTACGAAGATCTAAAGGAATAAAGAAAGACCCTGGGTATAGTTTGACTGAGTTAAATTAGCCAGCTTATATTTCACTGCAGGAGAGTGAGAGTGTGAGGCCATGTCCAGTCCACCTTATCCAGTATTTTTGCTATTATGGTTGGTTCAATTTCATATCCCTCATTTTCATGCCAAGACAGAATATTCAAGTATGTTTTTAGTGTACATATTGATATTCATTTCTTTTAGAGTTTAGAATCACTTAACCTCAAAGTTCAAAAACATGATATGAGTTTGAAGCTTAACTGTAGAAATGTGTGTGTATAATTTTGCTCAATGCTGATATGCCTCAATCATCCATGTTATAAGCCAATTCACTTGTAATTTCTGGTTGCTTAATTATTGACATGTTCATCTAAAATTTGTGAGTTGAGTTGTACTTATATTTCTGCTAATATTACTAGAGGTAGTTGCTTGCTTGTTTCTACTGGTTGAAAGAGAGTCACATTTGTTAAGCTTTATTGCAAATTTCCAGCAGCTACATACTCACTTTGTATTAGGAATGTGATGTGTCATAAAATATAGAGAATAATTATCTATTTTGTCACTCCTCAGTAAAGAAAGAAATTATATTCATTGTTCAGACAAAATGATGCTACAATTATCACTAACCTTATTTGAACATGAACAAGATAGTACTGTGGTCTCCAAAACCCCTTATATGAATACTTCATGGTATGTTTTAATGAGAGATATATATCTATTTTTGACCCAGGAATGTAAGGTATAGGTTGTGGTTGTTGTCGAACACCCTTGGATATTTTGCTGGAGTGATGGTGTAATTTTCATTAAGCTGATGCTCCCATTTTACTCTATGCCTTTTCTTCTCTCACACAGTAATTCCCTTCTAATGGTATAGTTCTTTTGACGTGAGTAATTTGGTCATATGGACTATTATTTGGTTTAAAATAAGTTTATGATGATATGATTTTTACCATTTCAGACTCTAAGGAAAAGTAGTTCTACTCCTGGAAGAGTTGCTACAGCAGATGGTTATTCTTTCTCAAATGTTTGAAAATCAGGTTACTTACTCAAAATCCTTTTTATAAGTATCCTTTTTATTATTATTTTGTAACCTAGTAGTTTTGGAGAGTTCTTGAGACTGTATATGTAATAAGTCTGAAGATTTTATATAACTGTTATAGGTGTGATGGAATGCAGTAATGCAGTTTTGAAGTAATTGGGGATGCTTGTACTCTGCACCCTCATTCTTGGATCTATGGTGCTTTACTGAGTGCATGTAGAGTCTGGTAACACTGAGGTGAGAGCTGAGATTTAATTGAAACTACTTAAACTGGACCTTAATCACGCCTGCTTTATTGCAAAATTGTACTCATGCCAGAAGAAAGACAGCATACTCCCTTAAATTGAATAGTACTACATGAAAAAGGAATTTCCTTCTTTGTAATGATGACTCTCTTAATCTTTGCTCTGCCATATTTGTTCTCTTCAAACCTAGTTATTTGACTCAGTCTCAGAACTTCAAAGTTAAAATGCATGATATGAGTTTGAACCTAACCGCAGAAATATGTGTATAATTTTGGTCAATTCTAATATGCTTCTAGTGTCGCTTGATTATCCATACTATAAGCCAATTCACTAGTTATATTTGGTTACTTAATTATTGGCATTTACTTCTAAAATTTGTGAGGTAGTTGCTTGCTTGTTGAGTTGATTCTACTGGTTGAAAGAGCGTAATTTCTTGCGAAGTTCCAGAAGTTAAATTCTCACTTAGTATTAGGAATGCAACGCGATTTTTCATACGATAATATACATTATAGTAATCTATTTTATCACCCTCAGTAAAGAAAGAAAATGAATTCATTTTGTAACCAAAATGATGCTAAAATCATCACTAAACCTTAATTGAACCTGAGTAATATAGTACTGTGGTCCCAACACCCCCTTAGATGGAAACTTTGTGGTATGTTTGAATGAGATAGATATTAATTTATTTCTGACTCAGAAAAGTGAGCTATATATGAGATGTGTATAAGGTTATATTTTTTTAACCTTAAGAACACCCTTAAATATTTTGCTAGAGTGAGACTGAAATAGCAAGCTGATGCTGCCTTTTTTCTCTTTGCCTTTTCTTTTCTCACCCAGTTATACCCTTTCTAATGTTGTAGCTCTTTCAATGTGAGTAATTTGGCCTTATGAACTACGAAGTTTTTTTTTTTTTTGGTTTAAAACAAAATTAAGTTATAATAATATGGTTTTTCCCCATTTCAGACTCTAATCAAAAGTATTCCTACTCCTGGAAGAATTGCTATATCGGCTGGTCAAGTTCTTTCATATAACAAAATCAGGTTAGTTACTGTAAATCCTTGATTTAAGTTTCTTTTTCACGAGTACTATGTAACTTGTCAATTATATTATATAATTGAAGATTTCATATAGTGAACAACTGGTCATAGGACTATAGGAGTGATGGAAGTTATTGTGTAGATGTATAGCAGTTTTGCAGTGTTGCAACTTAGGAGTAATTTGGAATGCATTTATTCAGTTGTGTGGGAGTCCATCTGTTAGTTTCTCCATATATATGGATTAGAGAAGGGGCATTGTAGCTAATAATTTACAGAATTCTGCATGTCTAATACTCTGTAGAGCTGTTTGTAGTTCAGGTTGACTAGTAGGGGGCCATCTGTTGATAACTCAGAAGCCTTTGTACTTTGCAGCCTCATTCTTAGGTCTATGGTGTCTTACTGAGTGCATGTGGAGTCTAGTTACACCGCGGTAAGAGCTGAGATAGACATCATACTCCCTTTAAAAGAATAATACTACATGAAAAATGGAATTTCCATCCTTCTTTGTAATAATAAACATTATGATTCTCTCTTTTTCTTTGCTTTGCCTTCTTTGTCTCTTTCAAACCTAGTTATATGACTCAGTCTTACTCTTAACCACCTTTCTTTAATATTCTCTCCAGAACTGAAGACACCAATCAAAGTATCTAGAGAGAGTGAGAGATAAGAGGTTGGTAAGTCAGGGAAGATTACTGAAACCTTTAAAGATGGGCTCTTCAGAGGATAACCATCCGGAGTTCTTCCGAACTTTTCATCCAGATCATAATTCTGAGAACCTGGTATGGTCTCCCCTCCCAATTTTACCTATATAAAGTTAACGAAGTATAATTTTGGCTGGCAAAATTATATTAATTTACCTTTCTGCCTTTTAAAGCTACCCATGAGAATTTTAGAGGAATATAATTTTTATGTAAATTGAGTGCTCACAGAGAATTCCAGATGCTTTTCTGGAACATTTAAGCAAGAAAATCCCTGAGAAAGTTGTCCTCAGAGATTGTTATGATGACTGTTGGCCTGTTGAGATTGTTGAAACCGAGGATGGCATGTTTTTTCAAGGCGGGTGGTCTATGCTTGTCTCGAGCTATCCACTACGAGGAGGAGAATTTATGGTGTTCAAATATGATGGACACTCTGCATTTGACATAAAAATTCCAAACTCTCACAAGTCCAAGAAGCAAAAAGTTGCTTCTTCTGTTAGCCAAGAAGAAGCAAAGCTTCCAACAGGAGAGGAAGATGAAGAGGAAGTAGTCATGGACCAACCTATGAATTCGGCTAAAGGGGGGATATTTGGCAGGGGAAGTAACCGTAAGAATAATGCATCATTGGCTTAAGATAAATTTGGTTCTTTCCACCTACATTTTTGTTTAATTGGATTACCTTTCGTGTCTAATGTTTTTTCGTTTTTGGTTCTTCTAGGTTCAGTCACTGGATCCCATGTCATGAACCTTGAAAAACGAATAACAGACTTATTCCCATCAGACAACCCATTTTTCGTTACAAAATTCAAAACTATCAATGGAAGAAAGGATGTGGTAACACTTTCTTCAAATTGACATCATTTTTTGTTTCCATTTCATAGCGTAACTTCAGCTTCTGGACATGATATTAACTGTTGTGTTTTGTAGACAATACCACAAGCTATTCGAAAGGGCTATGGTCTAAAATTTGGGAACAGAATAAAGATTCAAGATCCAAAAGGGAGACTTCATGATGGAAAGATAGCCATATGGAAAGATGGGCGGCACGCAATCACTAATTTCTGGAAGCAGCTCTGCATGTTCAACAATGTTATGAAGGACGACAATGTCATCTGTGAGTTGATACCCTCCACCACGAATACTTGTCGACTGATCAAAGTTCAAATTATCCATCCTAACACTGATTAAGACCTATATGCAACCAAGTAACGCCTTATTATCGGATGTGCTATCATCTTGATGTTGTTTGGTGCAATTACAACCTGTTGTACATCAAGTTTTATCTATAACATCATGTTGCGTAATACTTCAGTATTTTACATGAGTTATTGATTATATTACCCAAGGTAGTAAAATAGATAGTCGAGTGAACATTTGCGGTCCTCATTCTTAGCTGGAGCTGTTTCTAATCTAGGAATATATTAATGGTGCAATTATTATTCATAGTTCTATTTTTTTGTACATTTATCTTAATATGCATGAGGATGTGACTTAGCCGAGTATAATAAATAAAACACAACTTTTTCTGTCAGAAATTTTTTTTTTTTTAAAAAAAAAAAGCCTTTAGTAACTTTTTTTTTAAAATATAATATTTGGAAATAATCATCATATATACTAATTATAAATTTCTAGAAAGAAAAAAAATTACTCCTATTAAGATGATTGAAGAAATATACAGATTACAGAGTAATCCTTAAGAAACTAGTTCATGCATTTGACTTTCTTATTTCCTTCCAAGTTTCCATCCACATCCGAAATTGGTCGTCACCAATTCAAATTACACTATTTGCGTAACAATTTATTATAATTTTGAACCGAATTTTCTCTAACATTGGTCTATTGTCAACCAAAAGGTTAAATGCAAGAGAAGTGCACACCTAAGCATGTGTACATCTAACTATTTCTAGCCTATCGTAAAAACAAAAACTATTTCTAGGACATGATCCACCTTGCCAGCCTAAATAATCGTTTTGCAACTTTTTTTTTTTTTTTTTTTTTTGTAATAATAAAATCAACAGAAATCAAATTCTCAAACAAATGAATGAGGATTAACTGGTAAGTTTTCTCATTTATCAAGGCATTTATTCTTTGAATTAAATCTCACTACAAATAAATTTAAAAAATATTGTCACAGAAATTCATGTTACTTGTGTCAATTAATTCTTAAAGTTATTCTATACAAATCAAATCTCTAAAATTATCATTTTTCTGAAAATCTTCTGAAAACCTGAAATTAAGTATCATTTTTTGATCAGGAAGTGAAGATAGAAAAAAGAAAAGCCAAATTTTTCAGAAGGAAAAAAATATGGAATTATTCAGAGAATCAGGAAGAAAAGGGGTGTTAGGGGGTGTTTGGTATGGAGTTAGTATAGAAAACGGAATGGAAACAAATTAGGAGGGGAAAGGGTAACTATTAGTGTTACCATTACTAGTTGTTTGGTACATCAAAGGAAACGGAAACAATTATCACCATTCCGTTTCCTCTTGTTTGGTATAACAAACGGAAACGAAAAATAAGAATGAATAATACAATATTGTCTATGCTCATATTTTACGGGTAAAAAAAATAAAAAAATAACCTAGATAAAAAATATTGTCTATGCTACATATTTTACGGTTAAAAAAAAACAATATATATATAAAGCAAAATTGACACTCATTAATTATCCAAACATTGACTAATAATATGTCCATCATCATATGAATAATCCCAACACATAACTTGTGTTGCTCAAGTGTCCGAATTAGTAGAATTCACATCATCTTCTTCATCACTCTTGACAATCAATGGTTGCTTATCAATCTCTTGATCAATACCTTCTATGGCATCAACGAATGACTCACTTACATCTCCGGTAGCTTTGTCTTTTGTGTATATCTCCGCAAGAGTTTCATAGTGAATGAATGGGACTCCAAACAACCCTTTAGCTTTCTTATGAGTCTGCCATATAAGAGAATGCAACAAGTCAAAACATGAAAAGTCATATAAACAATGAGCATGTTAAATTCCTGAAGTATAGGCAAGTCAAATACTGCAGATTGCTTAATTTTACATGTCCCTATATTATCATCACCTCTGAGAAATCAATAGACAAGGAAACAGAAGACAATAATGCAACAAACAATTCAACAATATCGTTTTCTCAGGACCAAGCCTCAGGATTGAACAAAGATATAAAGCTTACTGGAATAAATATTTATTTAAATAAAATAAAATTCCTTTGACTGAGAGCTACTTAACATAGCAAAAAGATATTTTTTGAGCTCCTGCTTTTAAGGTTAACTTCTTGTGCACTTGGATAATAGTTGTAACAGAGAATTGCATATTTAGGAATTAGCTAATTTGTTACCATAAAAGATAAAGAGTAGGAAGTGAAAAAAAAAAAAAAAAAAAAAAAAAAGAAAGATGTCTGCTAACTCTAAGCTACTGTTCTGTTACTACCAACTGATTGCCATCTTCAGTCATTTTTTATGCTAGCTGTAGCCTGTAAGCATATAAGGATTAGCTCTTCAATCAGTGTCAAAAATAGGAAATGATGCTAAAGTATCACAATAAGGTTTTAATGAAGTTAAAAAAGGATGTGAACAACTTTACAATATGATAAAATATTGTATCAGGCATTTAAATTTCTAGAGTTCTGTTCACGCCCAAACACTCCAGGTTATAGCAAAGAAAGCACATGCTCAAGGATTTTATCCTGCTTTCCTATATTAGAGCCTATAAATGATCAAGCCAATAAAGCCTCTAAACTCATGTGACATAGACGTGTATTTAACAAAGAACTCAAAAGGACAATTCCAATCAAGTCACTGAGTCAATATCTGAACAAAGGGTGGTAATGGAGGGTAAGAACAAGATACCAGCCACTGTATGACAACTTGCAAACAACTAGGTGATTCATAGAGTTCCGATGATAACAACAGATACAGCTGCAGACTCGCAGTCTCAATAGATACAAGTCATCTCTACAATAGTCTAAGTTGCAACGATAGACATATTAACAGGTCTGATATCAGCTGAAAAAGCTTCTTAATTAAGTATTAGAGGGACAACTAGATAAGCTAAGGAATTAAGCTGGACAAGGTTTCTACTCATTAGTGGAATGGAAGCAGCCTACTATAGAGGGTGCAGACTACATATGAACTCAGGTCATATGAACAGCAGCAGTTCTAAAGAAGAAAAAAATGAACAAAGAGGAATGAAATAATAACCATTGAAATAACTAGTTGTATTTGTTTAAGCTTTTTCTTCCTTATGGAACGCATAAGTCGAGGCATTGTAGAAACCTTGAAAAATCAGTCCAAAAAATGTACAATAGTATCAATATATTACCCATCAAAAACCATTAAAATACAAGAAACAGAGAAAATAAATCGCAATTGAACCCGTTAAACAGCAAAACAATAGCAATCAACAAAGAATGCTCCACATGTGGATAAATTTAAAATATTTCAATACATAGCAGGATTTTTTTATGCCATAGTTCATGCTTTCGATTTCCATCAATAGTACATCATTTGACAAGTTGACAGGGAATAACATAAACCCTCACAATCCTAATCGTATGAGCGAAATTAGTAGTCAATAATTCATAAGCTAAAGCTAACTGGTTAAATAATCTGGGTAAGTAATCAGGCAGTAGCAGAGTATTTCGATTCAAAATATGGGTAAGTAATCTAGTCATGTTGCTCTTATAAGCAAATAAACCAAAATCATGGGAAAAAATTTGGGGGAAAACACATTATAACCAGCAATTATAGGCAAAAATAGTAATATAAACCATCAAATTCAGCAGAAAATCAACAAACAAGAAAAGAAAATGTTAACAAACAAGCAAGTCAATGATGTTATGAAATCGAACTGATGTTGTGAAATCGAAATTGATATCAACGAACAACCCTAGAAATTGATATCATATTAACAATCTATGTACTACAAACAATCTGAGATAAAAAAAAATAATCAAAATACAAACAATCAAACTGAAAATTATACAAATTTCAACACAAATTCAAAATCAAGGGTTTATCTAATAAAAAATTGATAAAAAACAAACCTGTGATGATTAAGATTATTGATTTCTGGAGATTTGAGCTAGGAAATTGATCAAATTGAGCAAAATCTAGAGATTCGATCGATCAAACTTGGGAATTTTTCGGAAAATTATGGAATGAGAGGAGAGAGAAAGAGTAAAAGTTGTGTTTTTTTGGGTTCGAGGAAAGAAACGTGAATTGTTTCCGCAGTTTTTGCAACGGAAACAAATGGGTGGAATGGGTTACCACCAAGTAACGGAATTTGTTACTTTACTCATTAACCAAACATATTCTAACGGAAACGGTAATCTGATTCCGTTTCCACCCCTATAAAAAAACTCATACCAAACACCCCCTTAATGTTTTTTGTTATGATCATAACACCTATAACAAAGGCAATAGATACAAACCCAGTGCATGATCCATGTTCAGATGCAAAGGTGCAAAGATGGGATGGTTTTACATTTGGCATCGCGTTTTCGTCTAAGGAATCCTTCTTTTCTCCTGATCAAGTTCAGTTATCCCCTTGTGACTCTCGCCTTCAGCTCGCTAACAAAGCTCAACTCGCGATCTTTAGGCCTAGAATCGACGAAATCTCCCTCCTTACTGTCAACTCCACCTCCAGCCCTGTATGTTTACCCTCTCTGTTGGATGATTGATGAATTTTCAAGCTGGATAATATTTATGCAAATGTTCTGATCATGAGAAAATGTTTATTTGTAGGAAACAACGGGCGGATATATGGTAGCCTTTGCTGGAAGAGAATTTGCTGCTAGATCACCACCAGTTTTTGTTGCAGATGGTACTAATATAGTAACAACATTTACTCTTGTAAGCTCCATCTCTGAATCCTTGCAAAAATATTATTAATATAATTTTAAGGTGACAAATAATTACTTTTATCGGACAACTTCTAATGTGTCACAATAAAATCATTGTGAGACGATCTCACCTAAGACTACATTAAGTCGTGATGATATATCAGGGCATGCAAGACAAAGATTATAACTTTACAGTGCACTAATATCAAATTTATGTCAATTTGTGTTAAGGTACTTGATTTCGAAAAGGGTACACTCCAAAACTTGTACTGGAAAACGTTTGGGTGTGATTCATGCAATAAGGATTATCAAGTATGCCATGAAAACAAAGAGTGTGCTGTGACATCTTCGAAGTGCAAAGACAAAGGTGGCTCTGTAGACTGTACAATCAACATTCAGCTAACATTTTCAGGCACAGATAAAAATGGGGAGGTGCTTAACTCATGGTACGAAATGAAAAACATGAGGCGTTTCTCCCTTTTCAATCTTTTCGCCGGTCTTCAGAATACATTTACCAATGGTTTGTTGTAAGCTTTGAATAGAACCTATCAACAAAATATTTGGGGAATTAAACTAATTATCCCTAGAAAAGTTAGTTTTCAGGGTCAAATTTACAAGGAAATAGAATATATACAAACTACGTATTATACTACGAGTATTATGTATAACATTTGTTGTAATGCTAGATTATAGTACAAATTTCTTGCATTGGTTCCAACTTCCAAGAGCAAGCACAACTTGTGTATGTGATTAGTTGAAGCTTACAAGTGATTTCAGAGACCACAAAACCAAGGATGAATGTTAATTTGCTATCATGAATGTAACATTGTTTCTCGTGACTTTCCAAATGATGTAATAATAACTATGTTTAATCCGTATAAGAGTTATAACACGCAGATTGCACAAGATGTATAACGTATTATATCTATTAAAAGGGTAGCCTTTTAAGCCGTGTTATTTTTTGTGTAAGTTTATTATTTAGTAACATTATACGCTCAACTATAGGAGTAATAAACAAGATTTTTTTTTTCCAATCATTTTATACCTTTTGAAGAGTTCCATGAATATACTGAACATATTTTTTTATCTAATATGTTTTCATTTCATACTGTTAACACGCAATTATATCCCACAAATATTTCTGCTTATTTATTTGATAAGATCGATTGCATTTTTTTTTATTTTTTTTTTTAAACACAACATATTGATAATGCACGCATAAAAGGAAAAGATTTTGTAAGTACAAAATCAATTGAAGAAAAGGAGCAAGGAAGATGGGATAAACATAAAGGGGAAGGCGAAAACATGGTAAAAATGAGAGAAAGGTGATAAACAACTTTGGGAGATAACAGATAAGATGAACAAAAAGAATCATATAAACAATAAACACAAAAAAAAAAAGAGCAAATAAGAGATATCAACTTATGAATTTCAGAAGTTCTATATATATTCAAACTATTATTACAAAGTTAAACAACTAATAACTCGTGCATTGCAGGGGACTGAAAATTAGTTCTTACATCTTAAATTAAAAAGAAAGTTTCGGTTTTATTGTTTATAACAATTACAATATCTGTTTTCTAAACTTTAACAGCACCATTAGAAATACTCACATTACCTTGTGGAGGACTAACAGTAATCCAAAGTAAAGATACAGTAATAGAAACTAATCCCGACCAAACCCACACTATTGTAGGCATCCTTCCTCTCCTTCCCATCAGTCCTTTCGCGAAAGGGTACATATGAGCCAACACCCAAAGACTGAAAAAACATCCACCAAGAAACTTATTCCATTGTGGGATGACACTATAGACTGTTTTCGCAAACCCGATCACAAGTGCAACCATGTTGATGACAATGATGGTGAGGGGCATACAGAAGAGACTAGTCCATTTCACAATATAAAGATCGGCGTACATATCATCTTCCTCTTCACCAGCAGACTTGGAGGTTAAAGTGAATGAAATTTCAACCCCTGCAATAACTTTCAGAAGGCCTTGTAAGACTGCAGCAAAGTGTGCACTGGTGCCTCCTATGAGCCAAAACTGCTCGTTTCTCCACCATTCCTCTAATCCGATCCCTGACCATTTAACCTCGAGGAGGGAAAGGAGCATAAGACAGATAGTTATAGTAAGGAGGTAGCTAAGAAAAGGAACACTCAACCCTTGTACTATGAATTGTCCTGAGAAAAGAGACAAAGCTGGTAGAAAGCAGTAAACTACTAGGAAGATAGAAGTGAAAGGGTAAATCCCAACATTGAAATAAGCTACTCGTTGTAGGAACTTAAGGCGTCTTGTTGCTACTAAAGGATTGTTTCGAGAGAAGAAAATTTCCACTGAACCAGTAGCCCAACGAAGAACCTGATGTAATCGATCAGTGAGGTTGATGGGTGCTGTTCCTCGAAAAGCATCACGTTTTGTTATGCAGTAAACTGACCTCCATCCACGATTATGCATCCGATATCCTGTCACCACATCTTCTGTCACTGATCCATAGATCCAACCTATCCTTGTCCCCCATTCTGTATTATCTTCGTACCTAACCAAATGTAAATTCATGACAAAATCAGGCCTTAAAAAAAATTTAAAGGTTGATAACTAAAAATGAGGGGAAAATGAGTTTGTAGAGTGAAGTTACCAGCAAGAAATAACAGCAACTGCTTCTGCAACTATAGGAGCATCAAGTGGAGGACGAGGATGGATTAAAGCACCCGGAGGGCGGCCGTTTTTCACTGATATGTGATCAGCTAAAGGTCTTCCCTGGTATTCAGCTACAGCAATTGAGTCAGTAAATATAGTTGAATTTCCAAACTTTTTAGGAAGTTCCAAGTCAGGATGTGGTGCCAAACGTTGTGTATCAGATGTTGATTCGTCATCTTGATCAGAGTGTTCATGGACATTGCTTGATTTTGGTTGCTTATACTGCCCAAATAAGCCTGTGTACTCATTAGCCCTTGGAGGATCAAAACCATAGAGTGCATATCGTCGAAACATGCAACCTGTTCCTACATAAACAGGACCTTGAAGACCATCTAAAGCTCTCATATTTCCATCAAAGAAAACAGTATTATGGTTGGCATATCGGTCAGATGGATCAATGCCTTCGAATCGTTGAGGAAATTGTACATAACATATCCTATCCCCGCCACGATCCATCATATAACACATTCCCTCTCTAATAGCCAATGAATTGTAGAAATAATGGTCACAATCTAAGTTAAGGATAAACGGCCCATTCGAAAGTATAGCAGAAGATCTCACCAAGGCGTTCATAGCTCCAGCCTTTTTGTTATGATCATAACCCGGTCGTTTCTCCCTAGATACATACACAAACATAGGAAGACGAATATCTACACCACTAAAATCAAGTTTCTTCTCATCAAAATGACCGAAAACAGGATCAGTTTCAGGGACTTTACTCATTATTTGCAAAATTCCTGCATGATCTCCTTTAGCATGATCAGAAGCCTTTTGGTACCAAGTCCCCGGCCAATGTGTCCCATCGGCCATCCAAGTCGCCTTTTGCACCTCACTTTGGTCAAGATTATTACCCCCGTTATATCCATCCTTATCACTAGACGTAGTACTAACATTCCTCTGTAACTGATCCTTTGAATTGAGCATGTCACACCTCTTTTTAATAGCATCCGGCAACCCATTGATCCTCACCTTAAACTCGTCGTACTCCCTTTTAATCCATCGTCGATCCTTAACAAAATCCGGCTTCTTCTTATTCTTAGTAGGGTCTTTCTTAAGGTTGAAATAAGTATCAGGATTTCTAGGTTCTATGTTATGTTTTCTACAAAAAGGCACCCAAAGCTCCCCAAAGTTTATGGCCTCGGCCATTGCCTCGAAAGTTAGGATGGAAGCTCCATCATCAGAAATGTAGCAAGAGATCTTCTCCACAGGATAATCAACAGCAAGGATGGATAGTATAGTATTTGCAGTAACAAGAGGGGGTTCTTTATCAGGGTCAGCAGTGGATACAAATATATCAACACCCGGTAGGTCGGACCGACTATGAGGATTAGAAGGGGAGGGGTGCTCAAACTTCTCTTTTAAAGCTGCAAGGTCTACAGCTCGATCAATGGGGTTGAGCTTCGGCAATTGATCCAACAACCAAGAAAACGCGAACCAAATCTCACACACAATAGACAATCCCCACAACCATAGTGCATCTTCATTCGGATTTTGCACTCGCCAAGTTAGAAATAAAACCAGCGCTACCATCCGTATCACCACTAGTAACCTACACTGAACTAATAAATTGCTTATTACAATTTGATGACAACATTACCTAAACTTCATTTTATGATTCATGTTTAAATAAGATAGATAAAGAATAAAATGACTATTTTCAATGTAACATTCATTATGCAAATGTAATAGATAATGAGCATAAAAATGAACATAATTTGGAAGTCATTATTATAAGGATCAAGGACTAAGGTACCTGTAAGGGCTGATAATAGCAGGCCGAACGCTGATTTTTCGTGTCAGGGGCTTCCACGGCTTGTCAGTGAAATCGTCCATGGTCATCCCAGCAGTGGTAGCATCATAAGCTTCTTCATCCGACCAACAGGCAGTCCCAATCCCATACTTGCCTTTAGTCTCGAAAAGCCATCGATTATGGTCGAAATCTCCTGTTTGGCTTCTCATTAACATAGACTTGTTGTTGGATTTCAATACTGACACTCTTCTATCTAACTTGCCAGAAGATCCACCATTGCTATCTCGTTGTGATTGTAGTCTCGAACGAGATGCAGAAGCCGAAGAGTTAGAGGTTCTTCCTGTTCCTTGCTCAACACCTGGTTGGTTATCTGGTGTTGGTGGCATCACCACCGTATAATCCATGTCAACCGACATGTCTGTATCGTCGTCTCGAGACAGGCTGAGTATACGTCCACTTGATGTTCTTCTTCCAAACCTTACTGTTTGTGGTGGCCTTCCAGCATTATTTGAAGATGATGATTTCTTTGTTGGGCTAGTTGATGACATATTACATGCATACCATATAAATTTGATCTTTTTGATAAATTAAGTTTCTAATCTCATATGAAATCCTATTGTCATCACCTTATAATATGCATAGGCAACAAATTATACATGATATTCAAGCTTGAAGATACAAATTTTGTGATGAAAAACAATGAAAGTTCAGGTCAAAATGTTTTTTTTTTCTTGCATTTTCTCATGCAAATACTAATTATTGGTATAAAAAGTACCCAAATATAGGAGCATGATTTTTATGATTCAAATTCTTTCTTTTTTTAAGCTTATTAATAGAAAATCTGCTTCCACATTTTGAGGTGTGTCACCCTTTCTCTTTCTCTTTCTCTTATCTTATAACCAAAATACTCTCCATGTAACTCGTTAGAGACTATATTTTAATGATTCTTATATTTGCCTCCATCTACCCTAGAATATAAAAAAGGGTTGTGTTATTGTTTTGGTCAATGGTGTTCTCGAGATCAAATCTCTTCTACATCGCCTCTCTATAAACAAAAAAATTTATCCAAGTAACATTCCCTCAACATAAAAATCAGTTTTTGTTGAGGCCAACAAAAACAATCATACTATCATGGAAATACGAACATGTATTACAATTCAAAATAAATAAATAAAAACGAACAATAATACTCCACACTCTCCAAAGTTGTAGCCTTGCACATAGAGGTGTCCACCGTGCGAGTCGTGCGAGCTGGGTTAGGGTTAGGTGGGTCGCGGGTTGGGGTTTCATGACACACGGCACGACATACGTAGGGTAGGGTGGGCCGGGTCGTGGGTTGGGTCGGAGAAGTTGGACACACCAGGGTTAGGTTCGTGGGTTAGACGAGTCGTGGGTGGGTCGAGCTGGGTTTGTGGGTTAGACGGATCGTGGGTGGGTCGAGCTGGGTTTGTGGGTTAGACGGGTCATGGGTGGGTCGAGCTAGGTTCGTGGGTTAGACGGGTCAAGGTGGGTTAGTGAGTTAGGGTGGGTCGAAGGGTGGGTTAGTGGGTTAGGGTCGGGTGGGTTTGTGGGTTAGGTGGGTTAGGGTCGGGTGGGTTAGTGGGTTAGGGTCGGGTGGGTTTGTGGGTTAGGTGGGTTAGGGTCGGGTGGGTTTGTGGGTTAGGGTCGGGTGGGTTCGTGGGTTAGGGTCGGGTGGGTTGTGTGGTGTTTTAATTTTTACAAAATTAACAATTTGATGGCTTGCTCTTAATTAAGATGCCTACGTATCCTTATATTATAAAATAAGGAATCAAAGCCAGCGTAGTTCTTATATTGTACTTCTTTTGAAATTTGGGGGGGGGGGGGCTTGGACCTATCTTTAGAAAACTAAAATTTAATTTTGCAATTAAATTGTAATTTTCGAAAAATAAGTTGCCTACGTATCCCGAAAGAATCAAAGCCCACGTAGTTCTTAGCGTACCTGATTTAGACTTTTCTAGCCACCCATGTTTGTTGCATCATCATCCCCGGAAGCTGCATCATCCGTTGACGACTCCAATATCATCACAGGATCATCTTCATCGTCTTCGTCTTCCTTTAAACCTTGAGTTCTTCTTTCAGCTTGATCCCAATCTTTCTTACAAACACAAATTTGAATGCTTTCCGGAGTTAAGCGAGATCTTTTTTCATCTAACACTCTTCTACCTGCACTAAAAGCAGACTCGGAAGCAACAGATGAAGCGGGAACTGCAAGTATATCTTTTGCAATTCTCGCCAATATAGGAAAACTTTTTTTATGTTCTTGCCACCATTTTATAATTTGAAAGTTGTTGTTGGTCTCATGTTGATATGACAAATAATCATTAATAGCAAGTGTTGAAGAAGATGATGATGAGAATGATGTAGATGCTTTGTGTTTTTTTTTCATAACTTTATTAAGAAAACCAAATCTAGAATCGGAAGTGCTAGTAGTAGTTGGTGTTGCCAAATCAAAACCATAAATAGATGCATAATGATCATAAAGGTCTCCCAAAACAGATTTGCATTTGTTAATATATTCACTAACATCATAATCGATACTTAAACTTGTATAATAAAATTCTAAAAGATTTTCCAAACCTTCAGCTTTGACACCGGGGTCAAGAATAGCAGCAATTCCATAAATGATTGGAAATTCACTAAAATAAGTATGCCACTTACGTTTCATGCTATCAAGAACGGGACGAAGTCCATCAATCTTCATATGCTCTTCGATGGTGTGAACAACTTTAACACACTCAATTATGACTAAATGAACGTTAGGCTCATAAATATAAGAGAAAATATGAGTTGCACTATCAAAAGCATTTAAAACATCACGAACAAAAGAAGCATTAGTCCAATGACTTTCGGTTATTAACTCAGTAGGATCAACACGAGTCTCATTGTAAAGTTGGGTCAAAATATCACGATACTTTATAGCATCACTCAACAACTTGAAAGTAGAATTCCAACGGGTAGGGGTATCAATAGACCATTGTCTTTTCTTAAGACCTCTCTCTTTACACATAGCTATGTACTTTCTTCTAACTGACTGAGTAATCCTAATCCATTTTATAACTGTTCTAATTGGGTTTAGCAATGGTTGCAACTCAGCGAGACCCTCTTGAACAGACAAATTCAAAATATGAGCACAACATCTAACATGCAAGAGACTACCACCCAACAACAAATTCAACTCGGAGTCATTTTTCAAATAGTCAATACACTTTGTGTTTGCAGTTGCATTATCAAGAGACAAAGAAAAAACTTTATTATTCAAGTGAAATTCTTTTATGTTAGAAGATAAGTCTAATAAGTGAATGCCAATTATTGATTTGATTACACAATGCTCATATAGGTCCAAACACTTGTGAACTCATATGGCTCTATGTGAGTAATTATTGTATTATTAGTGTAACTCATGGCTATAAATACAATGCCATAGAAGTAAGAATACAAGGATAACACTACAACAATTTCACCCATCTTCTTTCACTCTTTTACTCCTTTTATTAATCAAAACTTTTCTATCGGTAAATTCTTTAACACGTTATCAGCACCAGTTTTCAGTCAGGGGGAGAAAAGACTATATTATTTATGGTTTATTATTATTAAATTTAATTATCACGTGTCTTATTAACTTAATTATAAATATGGAAGAACTAAACATGTGAGTTGTACATATAATTTGTTATTATAAACTAATTATCACGAAATTTGTTGTAGCTAAAATGGGAGACCTTATGAAAAGACAGTTCAGCATCTTAGATTTATCTGGAAAGAAATTTCTGGAATGGAAAGTGGACGCAATGATGAATTTGAAAGCTCAAGGCTTGGAGCACACTGTTAAAGAAAATAAAAGTCCCTCTGGTCAAACAACTGATACTACCACTTCTGCAATGACTGTTGCAAAACCTGTTACTGAACAAGATAAGGCAAAAGCCTTAGTGTTGTTAAGGCATCATTTACATGAAGGCCTTAAAACTGAGTACATGATGGTTGAAGATCCCAAAGAATTATGGGATTGCCTTAATGAAAGATTTGGACACCACAAAAGGGTGCTCCTTCCTAAGGCATTATTTGACTGGACAAATTTACGGTTCCAGGATTTCAAATCTGTAATTGATTATAATTCAACCATACATGAGATAGTGTCTATATTGAGATATTGTGATCATCCAGTTTCGGATGAACAGATGATTGAAAAAACACTCACTACCTTTCATGCAAGTAACATACTGTTGCAAGAACAGTATCGTGAAAGAGGTTTTAAAAAGTTCAATGAATTAATGAGTGTATTGCTTGTTGCGGAACAAAATAGTGAACTTTTGTTGAAAAATCATAACCTGAGACCAACTGGGTCTTTGGCCACTCATCATGAGGCAAATGCAACAAATTCCTATCCACCCGAGTCAAATGCTACAAGAAGAGGTGGACGTGGAAATTACAATGGCCGTGGAAAAGGCCGTGGAAATTATCATGGACGAGGCCGAGGACGTGGTAGAAACAATTTTCAAAGAAACAGTAATTTCAAAAATTTTGAAAAACAGAAGGGACAGTCATCTGGAAGCCACAAACAAACTCTTTCAAAAGGAAAAGACACATGTTACAGATGTGGCATGACAGGACATTGGGGACGTACCTGTCGTACGGCCAAACATTTGGTAGACCTTTACCAGGCTTCTGTAAAAGGCAAAGAGAAAAATGCAGAAGCAAATTATGTTAATGAAGAAAATGCTCCATGTCCTACCCTTGATGTGTCCGATTTCTTCATGGACAATGCTGAAACTGGGAATGATTTCATTCTTGGAGAAAACAACAATGCTTAGGTTCCCCATCTACTAATGTAACATATGCTATGTTTTAATGTATTTTCTTAGTTCCCTGTATTTTAAATTTCTAGTCATGTACTTTAAATCTTTATCATCAATAAACGTTTGTATGATATTATTCTAAACTAATCTTAAATTTATTTTATGAAGATATGGATCTACCTGAAGTTAGTTCCGAATATCAATGCCTTTTGGACAGTGGAACAACACATACTATCTTAAAAGATAGAAAATATTTTTCACAACTAAAGTTGTTTCAAGCAAATGTAAACACCATTTCCGGGTCAGCTAAATTAATTGAAGGATCTGGAAAGGCTTGTATAATGCTTCCAAATGGAACAAAATTAATAATCAATAATGCTTTATATTCGAGTAAATCTCGAAGAAATCTCATAAGCTTTAAAGATGTACGCCAAAATGGCTATCATCTAGAAACAATGACGACAGATCAAAAAGAGTATATATGCCTCACGGCAGAAAAACATGGCAAGAAACATATATATGAGAAATTGCCAGCATACTCTTCGGGGTTATACCGTATAAACATACGACCCGTGGAAATCAATATGATATCTAACCAGAAGTTAGATGACAAACATTTGATTATTTTATGGCATGATCGTTTGGGACATCCAGCAACTGGGATGATGCAAAGAATAATAGCACATTCAGTTGGACATTCAATAAGAAATGTCAAAATTCCCCGATCAGATGAA